GAAAACAGTTGGCATTTGGAAAACCCAGGGCCTTGAAAAAAAAAACCCCCATTTTTTGGGGGGGGGGGGGGGGGGGAGGTCCTCAAGATGGCGGACTACTCAAACGAGACGCTCAACCAGGGCAACTGTCTGTCTGTCTGTCTGTCTGTCTGTCTGTCGGTGTCACCTCTTGCAGCTCCCGCTTGACGTCTTCGAGCCCTCCGATATCAGCCCAGGTGACGTCCGGCACCTCCACCATCGTCTCTCGCAGCGAAGACGGGTTGCTCGTCTGCCGGTAAGACGGTAAAAAAAAAACACAAATAACCACAATATCAAACACTACCACAACAAGATACAAACAAGGATTTCCACCGCAGTATCTGCCAGCAAAGACGAGTGCTGCAGCAAGTCTGCTGGCGGGAGAAGAAAAGAACGGAAAGACAACAGAAGAAAAAAAAATAGAACAGAAAAAAACAATGATCTTCACCATGGGCTCTTTCTTGAAACGAAGGACGGATTGTTCGTCTTACGGGAAAACGCAAGCTCAAACAAGCCCAGTATCCTCCACGTTTCCCTCTCAACCCCCCTACGAACGAAAACACTTCCAACACATCCCTTCGAACACGGATTTCACTCGAACGAGTACCTTCGTCTATCTTCGATGTTGTCTACAGTCTACATGATGTGTTTCGCGGCATCATCTGCCCTCATCTGCATGGTTCTTCGCCAGCCACTGGGTGGCAGGATGTATGCATGCATACATGCACATCAACCACCATTTGAACGTTTCGCCCGACGACCAAACAAACCCGCCCAAACGACCGGGCGGAGGGGACGTTGGTTGACACACCACCGATGCCAACCAGCACCACCGTCAACGCACGCCATCAATACCAAGGCCGAACATGCGGCAACTGTACCGACAGCCACAGAGGGTCGGCACAGCGGTGGACGGCCGAGAGGATAAAGCCGAAGGACATCCATACCTCTAGTGCCTTCAATCCTTACCTCCAGTGCCCTCAATCCTTACCTCTAGTGCCTTCAATCCTTACCTCGAGCGCCTTGACAAAGTGATCGTTCGTGATCTCGAGGCTGGAGAGCATCTCCGCATCCAGCTCGGAATCTACGTCGAACTCGTGCGACTTTTCGACGGTTTCAGGGACGGGTGGGCGTTGGGCCGACAAGCGGAGGCGACGGCAGATACCCGGGGTTAGCAAACTGAAGGGGCATGATTATTCTTTCGCATCGTCAAAAAGATCGGCGGTTGCCGAAATGGCCGTCGCCAAAAGAACACAGGCGGAAAAATGAACCCGTTCGAATAGAAGAGGCACTCCACAACTCTTTATGCATGAGTCGCCGACAATATCAGCAGCGTCTAAATATCAGCAATGCTTTGCACAAAGAAGGAATACAATCGTGTGACAAACAATATCTCGGGGCAAGAGCAAGGAGTACTGATCCGTGTGACCGTCCTGCCCGAGTTCACCTTTTCAGCGATGCAAGCCAGGGCCGCCTCCATGCAAAGCTGAGCGATATCGGCCCCAACGAAACCGTGTGTGTCCCGGGCAACCTGCACAACACCGGCAAGAACAACAACAAAAACAAGCATCAGAACGATTTCAGTACGTCATCGAAGGTGTGCCGGAACAACACTTGCAAGTGCATTCGAAATAATGTGCAGATGAAGCTACGAACTCCACCGTGCACAAAGTTCGGCTGACGTTTCAACTTTTCATTTTCCCGGCATAACCAAGGTGGGACGGGTAATGAGGTCATCTTCTTGCGATACAGGCAACTCCTCCTTCCGGCAGAACCCCCCTCCAAGAAAAACAGAACAAAAACACGCGTGCCACCACTTCAAAAACATGGCCAAAAGTGAGCCTCAAACATACAAAGAGTTGACAATAAGAGCAGGTTCTACGCCAAGAAGTCCCCAACAGAACCCATACATTCGCTGTCGGATTACCTGATAGACAAAGATTAGAGACGACCCTCAGGCAAAACACGATGTATTCAAGAGCCTCAGGCAAAACACCATGTATTCAAGAGCGGGCGCCTTCAGTAGAACACATCGTGTGCTACCACCAGCCATCGAGCGCACGTCCCAACCAACCCACCTTCTTGAGGTCGATCCCGCTAGCAAGCTTCATGTCTCGGGTCTTGATCCCCAGCACCTAAATACGTACGAGGCCAAGTACGGAACAGCGGCGGCCACCAACAAAACCCGGGGGGTTGACAAGCTGCTAGAACTTTTGTCGTTGTCCCGACCGAAAAGTGAGATACTATCCAACTCGCGGTACCAAAATGCTTGAACCTACATTACGACAAGCACTCCGTTAGAGTCTACGCCGTGTCAGAAAAACACGAGTCTGTATCACTACACTCCTCCTTTTCCAAATAGCCGCACGAAGCACCAAGGGAAGTGGTGCCTGGTCTGCTCGTTGGGAATACCGACTTTGGGCTCTCGCTCGAAGCGGCTAGCACAGCATTATTTGCTCGTGATAGACACATTGATACCTGTGTAGCATCTGAAATTAAGTATGTGCTTGGTCATGGAAGCTCTAACACTAAACTACACTCAAGACTGCCATGCTCGCCATGGATGCTGACTGATCCGTAGCAATAAACAAGAGTTTGACTACGGAATCTCAGTAAGACCAATCTTACCTTGAGCCGTTCATGCTCGTTAGCGATGCTAATCTATGGCATCAAACAGAGGTTTGATTACAAACTCTCGCTACGGCCAATCTTATGCATACCTCGAGCCGGCCCTGTTCGTCAGGGATGCCGATGTCAAGCTCTCGGTCGAAGCGGCCGAACCGCCGGAGCGCCGGGTCGATCACGTTCGGTCTGTTCGTGGCGGCGATAACGACCACGTGCGACGTCGGCTTGATGCCATCCATCAAGGTCAAGAGTTGAGACACGATCCTCTTCTCCGTCTCTCCGCCGGCCTGTGGTCAAGACCGTATATTTGCAGCACAAGACACAGGTTTCGCACACAACGAAAAGGCGGGATTGCACAGGTTTTGCACAAGACGAAAGGCGGGAATATTAGAGGTCTTGGAAAGATGAAAATAACGGATTTAACACGCTCGGCTTGACGGCGTTGGCTAGCGTACCGAGGGATGGAGGACGATGCGTCTCTCCGCTAGATTCACTCAAGCACATGAACAAGCCAGGTAAACGTAAATGAAACATTTTTTCATACGCATCTCAAGCCTGCGCACGCGCGCGTTGCTATGTCCTCATCAGCGCGATCCCCGTTACATTTCGTGCTGTGGATCGAGAATAAGTTGCTTCGACTACGCAAGAAAAGAAACAAAATGCAAAAACACGGACAAGGCCAGTCCTGCTCTTGTCAGTCACACCGGGCAAGCTTAAGCTGATCGAGTCATGACGTCGTTAAGGCCATTCACCCTCTTGTCAGTCACGTTGAACAAGATTAAGCCTATCGAATCATGACATCGACGAATCACATCCTACAAGCTCAAGCTTATCGAAAAATGACGTTATCGTGCCGTCATCAAGGCCAGCCACGCTCTTGCCCGGTACATCGAGCAAGCTTAAGCTTATCGAATCACGACGTCATCACCTTGTCCCTCTTCGGTGCGATGGAGTCGACCTCGTCGATGAATACGATGGAGGGGGAGTTCTCTTCCGCCTCCTCAAAGGCCTTCCTGAGGTTAGTCTCGCTCTCGCCCGCCACCTTTCCCATGATGTCTGCGATGCGGGATGCGGGATGGGGGATGCGGTTAGCACACGAACGACGACAGGGGAAAGAAGAAGCGTGAGGGGACGGTATGTCGAAGCAGGATACAGCATTGTCCTGTCAAAAAGAGCAGAACAGGATATTATTCGCCGGCACCTACAAAAAAAAACATGACACGTGTTGAGAGGGAAGAGAGAGAGAGAGAGAGAGAGAGAGAGAGAGAGAGAGAGAGAGAGAGAGAGAGAGAGAGGCTTGGAGGAAACAACAAGAGGCCCGCCGGAGAGAAGATAAAAGACACGGACGTGACACCGCACGAACAGCACACCGACACAACACCCGATGGTCCTGCTCTACGTCCAACATGCACAGGCCAAAACCATCTTCTTGAGGCAGACATCACCTGGTCCATTCACGGTGACCAAATGCGCTCCCGTCTCAGCGATCACCGCGCGAGCCAGAAGAGTCTTCCCGCAGCCAGGGGGGCCGTAGAGGAGAACTCCCCGGGGGGCTGGCACGCCAACTCGGTTGAAAATCTCCGGGTGCCTAAAAACCGAAACCGTCAGGCATGTACGGGCGCGCGCGCCGGGCAGACACGTGTTGCATGGGCGGTGAGTTGGCGTACACTTGTGATATCACGGAGCCCCCCGAACAAGGAGACGTGAAAGGCGGGAACAATGGAATCTAGATATCGGTCCCAAATCGCGGTATTTGCGGTATTCCGGATGTTAGCTACCAGTGTGGTTTGTGAATTTTGACTGAACAACGGTCCGCTATTTTCGCGGAATGCAAACACGCTTTTGGCACGGTACGCCAAACCATCCACTCTGAACATAGCTATCATATTCATGAAACGTGTGACACATCTTGGTCATCCACGGCGGTAGCAGCACCAGGTTGGGGTTAACGTTACGGGTGTGTCATGGCATGAAAGCACGGCCTCTGCTACTTTTAAGGTCCTGCGCGATCTAACAACCAAAATGTCAACAGAGGAATCCCACCAGCTGTTGCTTGTATCGCCGCTGCCGCTGCTCGTGGTAATGCCCTTCGCAATCAACTCAGGAATGACCACCTTCAATAGCCAATGCTTCTGCTGCTGCTGCTGCTGCTACTGCAAAGCCTCCTGCCTACCGGAGGGGGAGTTCGATGAGCTCTCGGATGCCCTCCACCTGGCGGCTGCAGCCCCCAACCTGATCGTAGCCGACCTCGTTCAGACGGTCATCATCCTCGCGCTTGATTGGCTCGCCTGAAGGGTAAAGGGGGCATCCAACAAGCAGTCATCGATTCCCCATGCTTGACTTAGCGGTGAGACAAGGGTCAAAATGCACCGCAACACGAAGAGCTAAAAGTCACAACCAGGCACCTAGACAAGCAATCTATGATTCAGCAGGCACGTACAGGGAGGCGTACCGACCACCTACCCCGCCAAAAGGTTGCCCTTGTCTTTCAGGAGGCCCGGCGGTTGGGGGCGATTCGCTCTTAACGGGGCAAACGAGGGGTATATCTATCTAGCGCGAGGTAGCGCCAACAAACTACAGTACGTCCACACATGTGTACGCGGCGCGTGCTTCGTGTTTCGAAGTGCAACATAAACAGACGACAACATTGTACACACATGTGCATTTCATACATGTTGATCTGACTCGCGGCATGCTATACATGTAGCATACGGTCGGACTTGCATTCATGTCGGCAACATACACACAAGTATGGCACGTCTCGCCACAACCACCTATTGCTCATCGACGTTATCGCGCGCGAAAATGGTCGTGTACTTGATTTACTCCACTCTAACCCCAACGCCTCTGTTGCTGCTTATGCCGCTCAATTTTCCAAAGCGCAAACGTGCCGTCTGCCAGCCGTGCACCACTACACCCGTCCGCGCTCACGCTACCGTTGCCTCACCTTCGCAGTCAATGACAGTCTCTTCCGTCACGACGCAGTACTGCGCCTCCTCCCCCCCCTCCCCGTCATCATCCCGCTCTCCTCCGCCGGAAACCCTAATCTCTTCCACGCGGAACTCCACGGACAGGAGCCCCGCCTTCGCCGTGAAGGTGTCCCCGACGTGTAGAGGGCGAAACTTCCCTTCGAAGTGGGGGCTGCGTTGGCAACAAGGTTCACAGTCCCGTTTCACAGTCCCGTTTCACAGTCCCGTTTCACAGGCAGGCACAGCAGGTAGGTTGGAAGAGGGGGATGAGGGACTGCTAGCGACAGAGAGGGTGGCATGCTGGTGGCGGTGGGATTTCGAGTACATCTGGCCATCCATGCCCTCGCGGAACATGCTTCCTCGCGCTTAGATCCGCCCAACAGGAACACGGCTCGAAAGGATAGCGGTGGGGGGCGCAATCGCTACGACAGAGCACATTGAAGCTGATAAACTTCTCAGTACTATGCAACACTCAACGCCATAAATATTCGCAGTATTGAGATCTGAACGTGTAGCATTGGTTGCCGTGCATCCAGAAGTAGAGGTACGACTTTCAATGGAGAAACAAAAACTTTAGCGGAAGAGGCCCATCTTCGATTCTTGGATATTTAGCTTTGGCTTGCACATGTAGAATTCACCACCACCACCTCCACCGCGTGTGTGTTTTACTCTACCTGAGCAGCGTGTCGATAAGGTCACCCTTTACATTCTCCACGTCATCCTGGTACGGCAAAATCCTCACGAACGTGCCGTCCTTGACGCTGGGGGCCTCCAAGACCGACACGGTGTCACCTGCCCCCCACCCCCCCAAAAAAGTGGAGATGTTAACCACGGGGGAGATACCGCTGTTCTTTTCTCGTGGGGAATCGTTGCTATCCTCTGGACTCTTATTCGCTGCAATGCGTTTCTTGTGTCCATTGTCACGCAGAATCACCGTGCAATACGAAACGGTCACGTCAGCACATACCTATATACTACAGCAGTACGTTAGAAGGTACTGGACATAGATCGGGAACGGTTCTGTTGTGGTGACGACAACAACAGAACGCTATTGTTATGTTACGTTCAGATTCCCGTAGAATAATGGTGCGATAAAAAGCGTTCACCTTACACTACACAATCAACTCCCCCGGGGACGCGTTTACTCCCAAAAGGTAATTTCAACTGCCTGTTGGACTGCTCAAACCAAGGTCAAAGGCAACCCCGATGACACACACACACGAACTACGGTCGGGTCGAATCGAAAGCGGAAGACCGAGATATGCCTTAACGTTCACAGAAGGGCAACACCGTCAGCAGAATACTCGATAAGGATAACACGGTTACCTAGGTGGCATCGAAGGTTCCGCCGCACTCGGCGAGTCACTCGCATCCTGTCCCCCTTCCCATCCGCGTCCAACTCCTCGTCCGGCTGGGCGACGATGAGGGTCTCGCGACGGCGGCGTCCGCGCAGGATCACCGTGTCTCCGGGGAAAATTCCTGGAAAATTATTAAGAACAGAAGGGCAAGAAGGGGAACATGCATGTTTGAACACGTGCTCCGGAAAGCTCCGAGGGCGAGGCACTCGTGGTAAGAGGTGCGCTGTCAGCAAGACCAACTACCGTTAGCACAGCCTGTGCCAACGAACGCCGTCAACACAAGACGGAGTAGGAACTCGCTCGCGTGTTTTCATAGTCTCTGGTCTCACAACCCACCAACTAAAATCACTTACCGCGTGTATTTTGTCTAATCTAATGAAACTTTCAGCAGCAAAAATGAGTCACGGGCGAAGGGTTGTGGCGCGAGAAATGTGCTGACGAGATTACATCCAGATGGCCGCAGCACACCGGTGGGGGCCCACGCGAAAGGGGAGCTTCCGAGTGCGCGTTGTGCGTCAAACCAACAACAAACAGGACGGCACGTGAGCAAACCGGAGTGTGTTTGCCCCCGAAAAAACTAGCCAGGAGCTTCGAGATGCACGAAAAAGGCTCACGAAGACCCGTCTTACTCCCAAACGTATCAAACCATGCTTGATGCGGAGGCCGGCATTGGTCGGAGAACCTACTGTACGGTGCTGAGCATCTACAATCCGGGGTGATGAGAATCTACGATATGGGGTCGCAAAGAACACAACAACTACAGTAACCAATTCCGATGCATATGCGCAAGATCAACAGGGCGCAAGGTTGGTACTTGTCGGGGACAAGCGTAAGTTCGTTCTTCCGTACCGAGTGTCTCCATCTTGGTGGGACTCATGAGAGCGACGTCACCGGTGTCGTCGTCATCATCCGCCTCTAGCCCAGTCTCCGCCGCTTCGTCAAGGATAACCCTAATTTGGCAGACGCAGCACGAACACCACAAAATGAGGGGAGGCGGGTGTCTCGTACAAAATCGCATCAACCGTGCTAACTGATGGGCCACTCGGTCTTACAGCAGTCTTACAATACAAGACGATAGCAGCGGGAACAAAAAAAGCAGACACGCGATCAACTGCTGTATTCGGGCTATGGTGTCGTGTCGGTGTTGGTGTTGTTGGGTGTTGTTGGCATGTGTTTATGTAGGTGCGTGTGTGTATTATTGTGTACTCTCCGTAATCAGCAACGACTGCGCTAGCCGGCTGAGACCAATAAAGAGATGCCAGCCTTGTGTAGAGGGACCAAAACCGCCAACGCGCCATCAAATCGTCGTCAGCTCCCCTCTGCAGGGGAAAGGCGGCGGGGTGTCTGCACAACAGCATAAGAGTGTGGGCGTTCGCAATTACTACCATCGACCGCGCTACCCGCCTGGCCAGTGATCATCAATCGGCCTGAAAAGTATCGTCTTGAAGAACCCCAGAAACACGATGAGCGTCAAGAGATAGATGTCAGATGTGGACACAACCCTGGAAAAAAATTGGGGGAGTAGGCGATGGCTCTCGGTGTAGAAGAATGCGGCAGGCTACGTGTGATGGACTACAAGCTCGGTCAGCGGTCAGCGGTAAGTGTAGGAGACAGTGTTCATATCGATAAAATATGTCGGCCGTCACAGTGCAGCAACGACGCCGTAGGCTAGGCTTCGACAACAGGCCCGTCTGCGTCTCGCACACAACTGTTGGTAACTTCTACTTCGTATAACTTGGCGGCATCGACATCGAACCAGCAACGACGTCTTTGCTACAAGCGCCTGCTTCAAGCATGAGCCGCAGATTGTTGTCTTTAGCATGTTGGTTTGCTTGCACATTGCAACAATTTGCTGGGGGGTTGTTCAAGGATTCCGAAAGTCCACGGACAAAAAATAGTTCGATCCCATCCCAGAGAACCTTCTGACACCATCATTGTCCTACAGTATTTATTATTAGTCGCTATCGCAATGATGAATGACGGTTCGTTGTAATACTCATCCATCAAGCCTAATCAACAGGTGCCATGCAAATCCCTTCTACTGCTGTTGTGGGCACATGCAGCAAAACGCCGGCTAGTCCTCCCACGTGGCACACAACGGTATTCAACAAACGGAGCGGTATAAGGAGGCTGCCATACGCCAGCAACAAGGCCTTTTACCATTTTCACGCCTTCCTCAGCCCCTGTTTCCGTCTCGCCGTGATAAAAAGTGTACCACGTAAATGTATGAAGCCCACGGGGACCTTAAAACATCGGTGCCCCAAGGCGGGCAAGACGTTCGTGCGGGATAAAACCATTAACTTGCCCCGTCCAGCTGCGCTTCGTGCAGTGAGGTTGTGGGTGTTCTGTTGTGCGTGTTCGGTGGGATGCGGCACAGCGTCGCTCCTGGTTGATCTTGTGACACGACACTCCAGTATATACTGCTGTACTGCTGTGTTTCAGCTGTAGACACTACTCGGTAGAGTGCCGCCGGAAGAGAGGACGAAAGCACGCGCACAAAGAGAGATCCCAACACTTTTTGTTGAAAGAAGAACCAAAAGTTCGGTTGACGACCACGAGTTCGGTTTCGTCACATCGGCTCCAGCCTCACACTCAACTGGAGACCCCTCGACCGTCGGAGTATGGGTTGCGATGGAATCATGTTAGATAAACATGCAGACGATGTCCAGTTTTCATATTCCCCTGGACGTCGTCTGCATGTTTATCTACCATGATTCCATCGCAACCCATACTCCGACCGTCGAGGGGTCTCCAGTTGAGTGTGAGGCTGGAGCCGATGTGACGAAACTGAACTCACGGTTCCTCAACCGAACTCTTGGTTCTTCGTTCAACAAAAGTGTTGGAATCTGCGTCTTGTGGATGTGCTTTCTTCCGTTCCCTTGTTTGACGCGTCGGTAAGGGGCCACACAGATGGGAGGTGGTAAACACAGCAGTTTTCTTGATACAACAGCCGTACAGCAGCAGCAGAAGCACCGTGTTCTCGGTCCTGTCACTAGCGATGCTTCCCGTCAAGGTAACGCCAACAGCAGTCAGCCCCTTCCCTCTTGGTGTACTCACGACTGCTGTGGGATGCCCACTTCTAAACTGCGAGTGTTGCACTCCGGAGAGGTTCCAACCCACATCCAGAACCAGAGGGATCTCCAAGTTTGATTCAAGCTCGGCTGCTGCGAAAGCCCGCGACATGTTTGAATCCGTGTGCTTGCACGGACCATCGTTGTTGCACATGTGTACATTGGAACGGTTCATGAAAGAGCGTGCCCGGTCTCCTTGCCGACAAACCGACAGCATCACACACGGCCAGCACACTCTCGTGCCCACAAGCGCCGGTTGCCGCACTCGGGGCGGTACCTCTCTCTCCCTAAAGAGGAAAGACGAAGCGGGACACACTGCCGAAACCACATCATGTGTGAGCGACAGCAGAGGGAGAACCAGCCAGCTCCACCGCTGCTGTATGTGCATGTACACCGATGTCCGTGCAGTTACGGTGCATGCGCAAAGACCGCGCGTTGATTGGGACATCTCCCCTACGCAGTCACGAAAAGGGGCAAGGTAGACCGCATTGAGTGTTGTGACCCGTCCTGGCAACAGCAGTACAAATGACCCAGCAGAGCATTGAGAGGCCGGCAGGCCTGCAGTGCCCACCTGTTGGGGAAGTTGCCCAGTAGAGCCAGCTCGATGTCCTGGTCATGAGCCCCAGACTCACCCCCATCCCCGCCCTTCGCAGCGCCACCCCCTCCATCGCCACCGCCTGCAGTGACTCTGGACCCTCCCCCACCCCGCGCTCTAGACACCCAGCTCTTCGCGAAGGATGGCCTCGCGCCTTCTTCAACAGCGGGCGTGCATGAACGAGACGGGTGCTCTCTGCCTCCGCCGCGTGTCGTGCATGTGGATGAGGAAGAATCTATGCCCACCGCCCCAACACCGGCACCAGTGGCAGCCAACGACAACAAGAGAAGCTGTACGAGCGGCTGCGGCGCTCTCCCCATGCTTGTCCCGCTTGTTTGCTCTGTGTTGCTACGACCTGTGGTTGCCAACTGCCAACCGGTGGGCAGCTGTTTGGGTTTTCACTTGGCTGAAATGAAAGCCTCCCGAACTTGTTGAAACCCGCGAAGACCAACTGCTGGTGCTGGTGAAGGACGACGGGGGCAGGGGGGGCTCGAAAGTTTAAGTGGTTTAAGTTGCAGCCAGCCTCCAGAGCTCCAGAGACACGAGTCACGCAGTCTCGCCTGGCTGTGGCCCCGAGGGAGTGCTCTTGCAGGACTTTCGGGCGCCGGCTGGCGCAGGCGAAATCCTCCATGTGGCTGTCGCGAACGTCGTTGCACAGCGCTTCTACCGCCGTTGTACCCTTTGTTTACCCGCACTTTAGACTTCAGCACAGATACGGCTCAGCCGTACTTTTAGTAGATACCGCAGTTGCTGGTGCTCGAAGGTTTTGTTGAAGCCGCTGTTAATTGTTCAGAGAGAGAGAGAGAGACCTTGAACAACGACGATGTGCATAGAATGTGATTGAAATCGTTGCTAAGGAGAAATTGGATATGACATGCTATTCTTTCTGTGCGAGTATTAATTTTTCCCCCGTATCTTTTGGGACGAAACACAAACAAAAAGTCTTCCACGCAGCTGGACGTTGTTTTTGTCTTCTGGAGAAAGCATTGGCATTTACTCTCTCAAAATACATGTAGGTATGGCAGCCGCATCGGCAGGGGCAATCCGTCGCAGAGAGGAATCTGGCCCGTTGCTTCCTTTCACCGGTGGACGAGGTACTTCTTCCGCGCTTGCCCCTACAGCTGCGTAGTAGCGATGTCTCCCCAAAAGTTAATTATTACTGCACTTGTATAGTGTCGTTGTTCATTTGCGAGGCGGTGTGTAACGAACGACGACGGCTTTTTGTCATGAAGAAAAAACGATGAAACGGCAAGCAAGCGATGACGATCATCGTCCCGCATGTACAATATTGTTTTCAATCTGACGTACAAGCGCAGACGAGATGAAGATTCTTGCCGTCATACTCTTCCCATCTAGGTAACCACACCTCTACTGGACGACAGGGTTCGTTCCCAGCATACCCCGGCACAGGAGGTTCATCGGTGGCGACCGCCTGCCATTCTTGGCGAGCTGAAACAGTGACTGATGTTCGATCCTGCTCTCGAGGGGCTAAGAAGGTCGCCCCCCCCCCAACATCTCCCTGTCTGTCGAGGAGGACGGTTCCTTTTTGTAAACATACTTCGTGTCAGAGTTTGCCGATAACTACCTGACTCGTTCAACAAGATAATTGAAGTACCATCACAGCATTCCTATTCCAACCCCCGTTTCACTTAAAAAAACAGGCGAAACAAAAAAACGCGCAACATTCACATCCCCTCGCACCTCCCTCACAGGTTGAAACACGCGTAGCAATCCCTCAAGAACCCAGATCCAATCTCGCATGTGTCCATTCACCTCGATACACCGTGGATACCTCCGCACGCGAATCCCACAACAACCAAGTGCCAGCTCCGTACCACCATCAATCAGCCAAGAGTTTTAAGGGCAGAGAGACAGAGAGAGATGCCCGCGTGTCGCCTAGAAGCACACATATCCATAGGTGGCCTATCCCAAACGATACATATCAGCATGCATGCATCCATGCAAAACTCGCCCGTGCCGACCGCATGTGCACTCTCCCGCCTCACGAACGCCGGAGCACCATGTAAACAAGCATTCATCCACGCCATGGATTCTCACCCAATCTACTTCAAACAAAATTTGCCCACGCCTGTCAACTGCTGTAGCCCGGCATATGCCCAACTTCAAGTTCTTGTCCACAAAAACAACGAAATCAGACACACGCAGCGCAGTACACGTCTCTCCACGGTTCCTAGTGCTCAAGAAGGACGGGGAGGGAAAAAAATCACGAAAAGCCCCCCAACAAATCTCCACCTGTCGCACGCTGAAATGTCACTTGGCACCACACATTGGTTTGACTTCTCCAACTGCGAACAGTGCCGCGTGGCCGGTGAGTGTTGCCCGGATCGGGCGTTCCTTCACAAGTCCAAGAACCTTACGGTCAACAAATCGCAAGGGCAGTCTAGATCTACACAGAACGAAGAGTAAACCAAATATAACATTCTTGAAACTTCAAATCTTGTCGCTTAACCAACCATTATGAAACGCTGAACTACATTAAAGCGTCTGAAGAACAGCCCCTTAACAAATGTACAGTGACAGTCTGGTGCTGCTGAACTGCGATGTCTTCCAAGATACAACAGCACGAGTTCCAGAGTACTAGATACCATCCAACCTCGCCTTTCTAGGACGCAAGAGAGAGAGAGAGAGAGAGACAAGACAGGCATACACAAAGACAGAGACAGAAAGAGAGACGAGACAGATAGACAGACAGAAAGATTATACGAGACAGGCAGACGTAGACAGAGGGACAGGCAGACAGAAAGAGAGACAAGACAGACAGACAGAAACACGAGACAGGGAGAGAGCAGACTGCGGAGGAGCACAAGGGCTCTCCTCTCCCTCTCCCTCTCCCTCTCCCTCTCCCTCTTTCTCTCTCTCTCTATACATATACAGTATATATATATCCTGCGACGTTCAAACAGACCGACCGATGCAGCCTATCTGTCGTAGAAAGCCTTCCCGACTATTGTACAGCACGCACCATAACCACCCACGGTCCATGGTCAACCAACGCACGCATAGGTCAAACGGCAACAAACCCCATGTCTCGACAGCTACCATTGTAGTAACAATTTCAGACAACAACAATAACAAAAATGACGACGACGATGCCAACAGTGTTCCCCCCAGCGAGCCCTAGCATCCCGAAGCAGCAACAGCAACAACAGCACAGCGCCAGCAGCCTTGGGAGCAGGAGCAATAGTAGTAGCAGCAGCAGCAGCAGCTGTTGTAAAGGGCCAGAGGTCTGCGCCCACACCCGAGGAACTCACAAAAGGTGCTCAATCCGCAGGGCATGACATAAACCGCCGCCCCCACACGATCGCCAAGACCTTGCCTCAATTCACACAGCGCCATGGAGGAACTCCATGGGCGGCGATGGCAACGGCACTACTGCTCACGGATGTCTCAATTCATAGAACTTCATGGAGAAACTATGGGGGCGGGCATCCGCCTAGCAGCAGCAGAGGGTCGGGAGGTCAAAGCCGGCGCCACCGTCGCCACGGTGACGGTGCTCGGGAGGTGCTCGTCCAGCATGCGGTTGAGCTCCCCCCTTTGCACAAGTCCTAGCTTCTGGTAGGCCTGCAGCCGGATCGATCCTTGGGGCACGAACTTCTCCTGCGGCACGGTACGGTAGACGGTACGGTACAGGGTATTGTTCACAGTACGGTTCACGGTAAGGTACACGGTACGGTACAGGGCACGGTACACGGTACGGCAAACGGTTTCATACACGGTGAGCTACTGTACACAGTTAGAGCGCGGCCGGGAGAAAACCCCACGACGTTATGTCTCTGGGTTGGTTGTTGGGCGACAATCGGGCAAGCTTTAATGGTGTTGCCGCTGGTGTCGTCGTCGTCATCGTCGTTGCTGTAGACGGCAACAGGTTGCGGCAAAAGTTGACAGGCCCCCGCCGTTTCGAAACTGACACGTGGTCGGCGTGCAGGCGATGATCGTCGTCACTCCGCTGTCCAACGTCCTAACTACAACGCTTCATACACATGGGATATAACTCACACGTCACGCGTGCATCTCAGTTCCTTAACATCACAGGGGAAACATGAAAACCGCAACAGCAACTAGCGATCGCATTCGGGTGGGAAGCAAGAAAAAAAAAAAAAATCCCACCTTGATGCCCTTGAACATGTGCTGGTAGCGGAACAGAACGTGCTGGGGTGATTGCCGACCGGACAAGTGATCGAAAAAGTCTCTCTGCACCAGCCAGAGCCGCTCCACACACCTCCGCACCGCCTGTCGAAAAAAAGAATCAAGATTTCTCTTGTTGTTGCTCTTGGTGATACTCTTCGCATGGGTGACTTATTGCGGGCATGCGAAAGTCTCTCACGGGACACTCAACAAGGCACGACGGCAAGCACATTGGCGTTGATTCATCGACGCTGAAGCGGCACAGACAGCAGTAACGGTTTTGGTCGACGCTGATGTGGTCACGTGATGGGGATTTTGATTGGTTGACGCTGACCGTGATTGGTCAATCCTCAAGCGGCGCAGCACTGATGGGGATGGTTATTGGTCGAAGCTGACGGTGATTGGGCAACCCTCAAGCGGCGCAGCAGTGGTCGGGGTGGCGATCGGTCAACGCTCACCGTAGCCTCCGCCGGCTGACTAGCCACGAACTCTCCCAGGCCAGGCGCACCGAACGGGCGCAGCTCTAAGTCCTTGTTGGGCTTCACGAACGGCCTGGAAAAGGGAGTTAGCGTCAGGGTTGGGGGTAATGGGGCGGGGAGGTCGCGTGGGCATGAAAGGATTTGGTGCTAGTCGCCGCACGTCTGATGGCAAATGGGTCAGAAGGAAGATGGGGTGTGAAATTTCACTAATAGATGCTTGTACGGGTTTCGGTTTCGGCCTGTTGACGCCGACGACTAACGACGACAACTTCGAAGCAAACAGCAACATCAACAAAACCAACAACAACACCAACAACAAGAGACGGTGGGGTGATTTTTCGAGGCTCACCTGCAGACGTCCTTGCCGTAGAGGCGCAGTACCTCGCGGTTTTTCTTGGCCACCACCGAACAGGGGGTCACCCACATTCCCTCCTGATCACATCGGAAGTCGGAAAAAAAAATCGCGTGCACGAAGCGTTCGTCAACAACAAACAACGACCACCCATACTGCCTAGTGGTTTCACTGGAAGACGGAAACAAAAGCACACACATACACGAAAGTATTGTAAGGACTCCCCCCCCAAATCCTCCTTATTACATTGGAAGACGGACACAAAATCACAAACTTGCTCGAAACTTTTGTCAAGGACCACCCACATTCCCTCTGTATCACAATGGAATGTGAACACAAATGCATACACACGAAATGTTTTGTCCGCAACAAGCAAGCACCACCCACATTTCTCCTGAAAATATTACGCCGATTGCTACACTGTCCAAGCAAAATTGCACGGCAAATCAAAACACTGACGCAGTTTTTCCAGGACCTGTCCGGAGCTGAGCCCTCCTTCGTCCTGCCGCAAAGACCGCAAATCAACCGGTCGGTGCCGAGCTGAGGAGCGCCGTTTTAGTTTTTTTTACGTCATTTTCCACGCAACTGACCACAGCCTCAACAAAACTGCTGCGTATCGCGAGGACTTGCAACACGGATGGAACCGCAAAGTTTCAACACAAGACAGCCGACACAAGCTGCACACGTTTCTCACCTGCCGTCCACTACTTCCTTTTGATGCTGGCTACCCTAGTTCCTTTGGCGTAAGTTCGAGGACGCGGATGCGCAAGCGCGCGCCAAAGCAACTACATAGGCCAACCCCGCTCGCTTGTGTACGTATCCGACGATCATTCGAAGGTCGTTCCCATTTTTTTTTCCGCAGCCAAACACTTTTGACTGGCGGACCCTTCGGGTCCATTTTATCTCGTATACCTTTATTGGGTAGGTTACAAGTAGCCTGTGGCCATGGGATCGACCCCGTCAAGCGTTGGACTATAATAGTACGGACAGAAGAAGGTACTGGGTAGAGAGAACGGAACGGTTTTTAATGTCAAGACAACAACAACAACAAACACAACAGACACGAGAAAATGACCAAGAAAAACCTCGTCTCCCCTTGCTGACTTCTCATGTCCCTTCCGCAGGATCTACCGTCGCCCGCGTCTACCTACACCTGCTTTCGCTGTATTGCTTTTTTCTCGAGGGTCACACAAACAGGGATTTCAACGTGCGCATAAACAGTATTGATCGGTTACACCCCGCAGTATTTGACAGTACAGAAAATGTTTTGGTTAACCCTTGCATGCAATGCCCGCTTGGGTGTAGAATACCGCGGTTGCACGTCGACAGCATGCAATACTCCTTGTCCTACTCCCTACCTTGGCATAGTACATGCTGGTGACACGAGCTAGGAACAATGCAGCTGCCGCCACCGTTCCTGGTCTGAAGAGGAACAGGAAGTTGTCCAGCAGAGAGAGGTCGACCACCAGACCGGCCAGGATATGCTCCTGTCGGCAATGAACGGACAGCAGTAAGCGTGAGTGTTCCCGTATCGATTCGCTATCTGTCGTCTTGCTTTCCCTCGAGCACGTCGGCATGGGAGGACGCAACACAGGTGGGTGCCACAATGGAATGAAGGATACACACGGCAGCCGGGAAACAGCAACGGGAAAACAGACAACAGAAACCAAATGTGTGTACGCTAAAATACTAAACAGACTAAAAAAAAAAACACGTATCCAGCCGGTTGTTCCCCCACTCCCTCTATGTAAAGACTTCAACCCATCCCCTTCGACTGCAGTTACATGCCTCGAACCTACGTAGTCTCTCTGATTGGATGACCTTCAAAGAAACGAAACCTATACTTGTATGCGCCGAGAATAGAACAAGCGTGCGTAAGATGCTTTTCGAGTTCTCACCGCACATCGTCGAAATGCACAATCCGCTTCACCCCCCAAGAAGAAAAGCTGAGCTATTAGAAACCCTAACAGCGGCCCATGCGCGCTGCACTCCTGGCGCCATGTGCTGCACTACGCACCTCACGGATTCTCGGGTGTGAGTGCTCCTCCCAGTCCATCGTCAGCGGTATGTCGAGGCCCGATGGCTCTCCCATCGATGTCAGGTGCCTGGAAGACAAACCAGGTCCCCATATACATCAAGCAAATATATTGTAGCGTTACTGGGCAGCGAGGTACGGAGGATAGGGCGAAATCTTTTGGTTGCCATCCTTGATTCATTCCCACAACATGCCGGGAAAAAAAACAGTATCGAACTACAATACAGCAGCAGCAGTCACATGCGCTGGTCAGACAAGCATACAAATAACCGGGGGGAATAGACCTCTGGAGTAGGCCAGGAAAGCGGAACTGGATGGTACACAACGATTGGGTGGTGGCCAGATTGGTGCCCTACACACTTGGGCAAGACACGAAAGCACGACGCAGGGGCGGGTGTCGTGAGCGGAACAATGAACACGCATTGGTCGTCACAAAACAAGTAACAAAGCACACACGCATCCCGCGCCGAGACTGACGTACTTGTCCTGTTTTGCAGATTCGCGGGGTTGATGCTGCCCAAAGGCCTTAACACACACACACACACACACACAGTTGCACGAGCCTGACGCCGTTTTTCATTGATTAGCGGGTTAGCGCGGTCGATGCTAATAATCAAAACCGCACGCACACAGCAGAGTACGTGAGATCCGGACAGATCATGCGAAGTTAGAGGCAGGAAGCACGATGACACACCTGTGGAGGATCTCCGCAACGGTCGCTGGAACGGCCCTCCCCATCGCCTCCTGGGTTATGCTTACGACGACGTTGAAAGTGCTGTGGACCTGCGAGGGGTTGTACTGGCTGTCGCAGATATGAATGGCTTCGGATGTGTTCATCACCTGGCACCCACCACCAGCCTGCAAAAGTGCAAACACAGAATCAGGGGGGGGGGGGGGGGGTACTCACAGTCGTGCATGACGTAGTCGTTAGAGTATTGACGCCGCATCCCTACAACGCCGGGACGGAGCACGCCGGGTTCTCACCGGACCAAGCTCTCACATCACCAAGCTCGAAGCACCGTGAGATATTCGTTGAGTCGCATGGAGGGTGCGCTGCATCCTGCTGTGGGTGTTCGTCATCTTGTGCTTACTTCCTTGCATACGGATGACAGCTGCAAAATACTTACTTTATTTTCTGGTGTTTTCGCTTCCAGAGACAGTTACATATATAGGCACTGTGTAACTGCTTCTAGGGTGCTTGACCAATTTAACACAGCGTGATGCGATCATCCCCTATGCGCGGAGTGACGGTTCTCGATCCCGCACAACACGATCTACTCGACCACCATTATGGGGGGGGGTATGAATGCTCGAGCTGAACAGGAGAAGGGCGAAACGGGTGTGAAAAACGATGAGAAAGACGGTATCCTCCTTAACATGAATGACCCCGCGTTACCACCTTATATGGAAGTAGCGACAGTCAACGAGTGGGAGGAGGGGGGGGGGGGGGGGGGTACCATGGGCCCGAGGCCCCTCCGCGTTTCAACCAAACCCATTGTCCCCCCAAA